TCCTACAGAGGAATGCTTTCTACTCCAGTCATTATTGACGACTACAATCACAATATGAATGGAGTTGATCGTGCTGATAAATTTTGTGCCTCTTACTCTACTCAATTGACTGCTCTCTGGAATTGGCTTCTTTTATTTTTTGGAATTTTAGATACCTCTATTATTAATTCATTCATTCTCTATTGCCTTTTTTGGCCAAATGCCAAACACAGCTAATTTCGTCACTATCTTCTTCCAGCTTTATTAAAGACTCCTAGAAGGGAGTTCCAACTCATATTGGCACTACCTATCAGAAGAAAACTCCTACTTTCTACTTTACCAAATACAATAAAACCCTTACTCCTCTTCCTCTGGGGCCCCATAAACTTGTCCACCTTCCGGCTAGAAAGTGCTCTCGCTGTGTTTTCTGTCATTTTTCAGAAAAAAAGTCACACCACACCTGCTTTTCTTGTTCTTCTTATTCTGTTGGGCTCTGCTAGTTTAATTGTTTTGATAATTATCATACGTGATAGTTAAATTCTTTTTATAGTGTTAGTTTTCACATTTTCTACCTGTTTGCTTAGCATTCAAGAAGTTGTACTTGATATTACTTGGTCGCATTTTCTTTCATAAAACAAAAATGGTCTTAAACACATTATGAATGTTAGGTAGAGACAATCTGATAAACTTCAGTTTTGTCTAGGCCAACCAAAATTCATTTCTGTAGAGGGAGATTGTCTAGGAAGGCTTAGACTTTACTCATTTCATTTATGACTACTAAGAGTGAAGTAAAATAAGTAATGTAGAATTGAATGGTAATGTTAGGAATACCAGAACCCGATACCTATGAACCACCCTAAGTAGGGTAACCCCACTCAGAATCGGAATCTCTGGTCTCCAATACCCCCCTCCTGCTCCCTTACAGGGCCCGCAAGTCATCATATATATCAATCTCAGTTGTGTCCTGTGACTATATTACTACAGAATTGAAGGTGTTAGAATAACACCATATATGTTGTCGCTGTCCATCCAACCGGATCCTGTTTGCAGGATACATGGGAGGAGACCTTCGGCTAGGCCTGGGAAGTGGAACGGAGTAATTCAGTCAACTACTCAGAGAGTTACTTGGCTCTAAAGACATAACACCTTTGGTATGGGCCACAGGTAACGGGACGATTTTGCACAAAGAGATGATACTAAATGGTAAAGGATCTCTACTAGAGACCAATACATTTACATCCACCAAAAGAGTCCAGAACTCCAAAAAACACTACCAAAGAAGTCAACGAACTTCACGGAGTGTTGCAACTGGGTTTCGGAACATGTCGTAGTCATGGAGTGATTCCCAATACTACAATGATTACTGAAACCTACTACCCAGAGAGCAACCAAGGGTTGCCAACCGAGGGATTAATTACCAATCTGGTGGAATAGCTTCCTGCGAGTTAATAGGAAGTCATCCAGAGAAAATCTATTGGTTGGGTATGGAGTTACAAAGGATCAGAGTCAGATGACCTACAATGGTTGTAATGATGACCACCTTTGCTGATATAGCGGTGAATAAAAACTGATCATTTTATCAATGGCGAAGACAATTGGAGCCAACTCAGTTCGACTTAAGAACTAGGCCATAAGTCTAAAGACACTGCTAATCAGGACATTACTATTGGGGGCAGCATACTTCCAAGAAGAAATATCGTAATTACTGAAGAGGGTGTGATGGTTTTCAGGATCCACAGGTGTTTGCACCTTGGAAGAAAACACGACGTTGCAAATTACAATTGAAGAAGTACATAGTTGTATGATAAATAGTTGTAGTCCGCGAACACTCAAATGTGGAATATAAATATCGAAGTGCCTCCCAAAGCTTTAAACATCATCAAGCAACAGAGAAGAGACGTTAACAATATAATATTGTTTTTACGATTCTACCCTACTTTACCTACTTTACTTCTCTCCTAGTAGTCATACACGAAACGAGCCAAGTCCGAGCCTTTCTAGACAATCTCCGTCTACAGAAACGAATCTCGATTGGCCTAGACAATCTTGGAGTCTATCAAATTGTCTCCGCCTAACAGGAAAAGACAATATTATATTATTAAGGTCTGTTCTCCATTGCTTGATAATATCTAAAGCTTGAAAGGGACTTTGATATTTATATTCCGCATCTGAGTATTCGTGGACTATGTCTATTTATTATACAACTATGTACTTCTCTAATTATAACTTGCAACGTCTGGTATTCTTAAAAAGTGCGAACATCTGGAAACCTTGAAAATCACCACACCCTCTTCAGCAATTACAATATAACTAATTAGGAACTATACTGTTCCCAATAGTAATTATCTGATCATTAGTGTCTTTAGAAAATATGGCTCAGGGTGATTTCTTTGTATCGGATTCCGGTATCCCTAACAATAAAATTATTGTATAATTCCTAGCATGATCCCCCCTGGCTACACTAGACTTATTAAATCATTCGACATCTTGATTAATAAGCCTTTCGAATAACTATTGCATAAGCATATTGAGAGTTATGCTGAAGAGAAGGAGGATGTGAGCAAAGAAACATGGACAGTAAGAGACCAGCATGTTATAACTACTATATGTGTAAGCCATGCATAGGCTTAATTTTGTCAAGAGTCTCGTCATTTAGTTATTATATCCTTTTGGAATGTTGGTCTTTCTTCACACCCAAATGGAAGCAAGGACTATGAGCTTAATATTAAAGGACTATATACAAGTGAGTTGGTAGTAGGCAATGGATATGAGCCAAGCTCAGGGGAGAATAATGATACTTGGGAGGAGGAATGAATACTAGGAATGGCCTCTGATTCATGAGAGGCTGTAGAATATGAGGTGGCTGACCTCACAGGTATTTAGATTGACTTTTCTTTTTTTGTATTTGTTTTCACAATGATTTTTGACAGTGATTTTAGATATGGCGTGTTACCTACTTTGTAATAGATCAACAAATAGTGATATTTTGTATTGCGAAATTGGCTATGGCGCACTGCCAAGCCATCCAGATTTTTTGAGATTTTACAGTACTCGTACCATTCTCCTTGGTATTCCAAATAATCCAGAGGTTTTTTTTCTTTCTTTTTTCTTTTTGATGAATAAAGATTTTAACTTAGCAGAGCTAGCTGCGTAATCATCCAAACACGCTGCTAATTCCTCGTGTATGATACTGTACTGCACTCGAGTACTCTATGATACCGTAGTTGTTTTCAGTACTCGAGCATGCTGCTCCATCATTTCTGGGCGCTTGCCCGCCTACCTCGCGCGGTGGGTGGGTGTACGAGTACTAGTACTCGAGTAGGCATCACACTCATCAGACAGGCGGTAGACTAAGCAAAAAGAAAAAGAAAAAAACAAGAAGAAAGGAGAAAAAAAAAAAACTATCATAACTTATCTCCTGCCGATAGTAGTTGCCTACGAGTAATAGATACTTGTACTTTGTCTCTAGAAAAACAGTTCCTTTCAAATTTGATCACGGTAACAGTCACTAGCTACACCGCAAACCCGTGATCGCTATCACTTGACCAGTCCATCAAATCACTGGAAAAAGTGTGGGTGGCTTTTTAGTCAGTCCTACGAGGAACTCCTAGACTATATAAGTTAAAGTGCAGCTTTGCCCCATTCACTCCGCCGTCACACTGCCCTTACTCGAATATTTAAGCTTATTGTGACCATGGGGAGGGGGGTGGAGCTTGTTGTTTGTTTTTTTTGGAAGGGTGGCTGGGTACTATCATACCTGCCGAAAAAAATTGGGTTTTTCCGGAAAAAAACGGTATTAGTACTTGTACGGTATTCGAACAAGTAGAAGCTGGAGGAAAGTACTTTACCGGGAAATTTTTTTTTTGAAAAAAAAAAAAAAAAAAAAAAGTTCTAGCTCGCTTATTGCTCCCGCTGTATAGGCTGTTCTAGCGCCATGTCCGGTCAAGTTAGGTGCTATGGTATCACAGCTGACTGACTGATGTTGGGGGGGGGGGGTTGCTGTGGCTCTTCAATTTGCATTACAGTATGCAAGGTATCATAATATTATCATACATAGACTACAGTACTTTACATACCATCATGATGCCAACCACGGTACCCCATTCAACATCACCACCTCTTTCCCGTACTGTACTCGAGTAAACGGCCAGTTCAGTTACCAAGTAATACTCGATTGAGTACCGTACCGTACGATACAGTTGAAGTGAATCTCTACGATAACTAACTCCACACGACCGAACAAGGTCAATCTACAGATCTGAAAGAAAAAAAAACCCCCCCCCAAATAAAACGTTATCTACCCATCCACCCACCCGTTCACTCACTCAAAAAGCCATACCCGGATCACCCCAGATCAATTCTATAATATAAACCCACCGCAAAAAAAAAAAAAAAAAAAAGAAAAATCGGAACCATGACCGACCGACCGATCGCAGGACAGCGGGCAGCGGGAAAAAGGCGATCACACCCTCCCTCCCTTGCTGCGGGAAGTTGTGACACAACCGCTACCGGACTCGATTTACCACCGATATAAGTACGATAGATAGATAGATATACTACCATACATGTAAGGGATATGCAAGGGCATCGGGGATTTTTATTTCCTTCTTTTTCGAATCCCGGGCTTCGAGATGGAAGGATGGAAGGAATACCGGGGGTACAGTATGAATGAAGTGTGTGATCTTGTGTGATCGGTTTTTGACCCCTCCTTTGGTTTTTCGAACACAGCTGTTGCGATGCGACACCATCATCGATGAACGAGGGGGTATACCGGTAGTGGGGTTCATAGCTTGCACGGCGTATTGTGATGTTCTTGTATTTGTTATGCTTGTGCACTGCTCGATGAACGACGATTCTGCTCACTGGGGATGATGAGTGATCGCCTTGCCGGGCGCTGTTGTGTATCATACGAGTGGTGTAGACTATCGGCGTGTCTATGGATGGATGGAAGGATAGTCTACGTGCTGTACAACTGGGTAGCTGTTTGTGGGACACGGTAAATGGAGGAAATACCGGCGTGGTGGTTTATGATACGAATACCGGTATCCTATTATTCCCCACACGCCCTGTACCTGTACACTATCGTAGCATAGCTTATATCTAGTCATTCCCGTCCCGGCTGCTAGGTGGGCAAACTGCCGTAAGTAAAGCTACGATGCAGTGAGGCACCAATATTATATAAAGGACGAGAAAAGAGAGAAAAGGAAGAAGGGGGAAAGGAAAGCCCAAATAAAATCTATGATAATATGATCCCCATGCCAGAAGACAATTAATTGGCAAAGCGAAATAAGGAAGAAAACGCCAAATAATAAACTCCCCCTGTTACAGCGCCATAAGTAATAAACTAACGAGTATGATAGCAAAAGAAGAAAAGAAAAAAAACTCAAGTACTCCCCCTCACTACCTTCTCTTAAAAACCGCCGTGACGACGCTGATATCGTCATACTTGCCCCCCTCCATGCTGAGCCCCTCATCGATGCCTCGTTCCATATAAGGGCTTTCGCCAAAGGGGTTTATGGCGGTTTTCCAGGCTGCATTGACAAGTTTGTCCGCCAATCCTCCTACCCCTTCTGCCCCGTGGGCAGCGCAGATATCCGCAATCTCCACATCCCAGAGATTATCCGGCAATCCGTCGGTAGTGAGGATGACAATGTCGCCTTCTTCTAGATCGACCTTATCCACGACGGCATTGGCAGCGGGGGTGTCGAGGGAGTTGGTGCCGAGTTGGTATGGGCAGTCGAACCAGTGCCATTGTTCGGTGGACTTGTAGACGAAGGAAGCACTGGACGGGCGGTACACGTACGCTCTCGAATCCCCGATGTTTGCCACTGTGAGGGTGCTACCTTCCAGACTGGATACGCAGGCCGTTGTTGTCCCCTGCCAAACTGTCTTTCCTTCACGGGTGGTGGCGGAGACGGTGTCGCTGTAGCTGCGCTGGAGGGCCGAGACTATGTCTATTTTACCTTCCCCCGCCACTCCCAAGGATTTACGCTGCGCATCGAGGGCTAGCGACCAGTAGTGCAGTATCAGTCTCGACCATAGCGCGGCGTGACCGGCGATTTTGGTGTTCCAGGCGCCTACTCCGTCGGCTACACCCAGTTGGTTGTGACGGTGGAGGATTGCATCGTCGCCGTTTGTTATCCCACGAAGGAAGGTCGCGCCTTCCGGGGTCGGGATTCGAGAGGGATGGTGGGTTGAGAGTGCGTCGGAGAAGCTAGATGGTGGTGGGCTGTTGAAGGGGGGAGGGAAGGGTCGTGGTGCCCGTTTGGCGAAGAGGGAGAAGTTGGTTTTGAAGCCGTACTGGATGGGCTTTATCAATGGTCTTGTAGCCGCCACTGTTGCTGCTGCTGCTTTCGGCGGCTTTGGGGGGATGACCTGGGGGCGGAGGAGGGGGCTGTTGTGTGGGTTTGCTGGAGAGGGCTTTGGAGATAGTGTTGTTGAAGGGGGAGGAGCGATGGAGGAGGTGTTTGGGTTAGGTATGTCGCGTGTGCTATTTGATGGTGATGATGCAAGTGTTAGGAAGCATCGCTTTGAGATGCTCCTGGGAGGTAAGGGTGTGGCGAGTAATCGGGTTCTGGAGAGTATCGAGAAGGAAGTAGATGTAACACACATATCTGTCTTGTTGGATATTCTTCACTAACGTTCAAATAAAGTTAAAGGAGTGTGATGAATGTAGTAGTGGTATTATGGTAAATGTTACTTTTTTCGCTAGAAAATCATTAAAATGGGGAAAAGGGCAGCGCGGTGAAGGTGTGGACGTGAAAGGATCTTCTTAACAAGGAGAGAGGAGAGAGGTTTGTTGTTTTTTTATTGTCGGAAGGCAGAAGGAAAAAGCACAAAGCTCTTCGGAGGCAGGCAGAGCATTGGGGAAGGAAACGGAAAAAGCAGGAAGAAAATAGCCACTGTATGATAGAGAGGAAATTGCTATTTGTTGGGGCACGAGAGTTGGATAGCTGTGGTGTAACAATCACCCCTAGCACGAGCAGCCGCCCACTCTAAATTTTTTGCTGAGTCGACTTGCTGAGCTGAGTGGGCTCAGTCTCAGTTGATCCATCAAATTTATCATCCTGGCACCGCCGAGCCGGCACAACCAGTGCTTTCTTCTTCTGATGACACCGCCTGCCTGCCTGCCTGCCTGCCTGCCTGCCTGCCTGGCTTTCGGAACACTGCCCTTGTTTAGAGAACCTAACTTATGCACCCGAGCACGCACGACGAGAACTGTGAGATAAGGAGAAGAATCCTCTCAACTTTTATGCTTTCATGTGCTTGGTGCTTGGTGCCTCCTGCTCCATCCTTATCTGATTTCATTTCCTACCGGGAATTCCCACAACACAAGAAAATGGGGGCTATCCTCAACTAAAAATATACCCCTACCATGTACCAGTAGATGTTCATTCGACGGTGCTCTCTACTGGTATGACATCTGCGCTCACGGAGTGACTTGGTACTTTTTGTAACTATCGTCACCACCACCACCCTGCGAATGCCTCTGCGCTTGCATTCATGTAGAACACTCCTCAAGATCGCTCGAATCACCTTCACTAGAGGTGTCGCGTGTCATGCCTCTCAATACTGCCATTACGGTATACAAGTATCTCGTCCAACCAATCCCTGCCTGCTCGGAAGAAATCTTAAAAAGGGGGAAAAAAAGAAAAGTGCTGCTGAAAATTTAGAAGAAACCAGGCAAGAACAAAATAATGTACAGAATACCGAATCCCTGGTCGATCTCCCTTGATCACCAAAGTGGACCTTTGAGGGTACAGTAGAGAAAAGACAGAACCTTCTGGGACTTTTATTGTAGTGCCGTTGCACGAGCTAGGAGTGTGAAAACATGAATGCGCCAATATTCCCCCATTTTCTATCCCACCAACCCGTATATCATAAACTAGCTGGCGCTCTTCCCCTTCCCCCGAGTCGCAGCGCCGGGTCTTGCAGCACCTCTAGATCCCGAGGATTCGACCAGCACGCCGTCCTCATCTGAGTTATTCTCTCCTAGTAATTCGCGCGAGGCACGCTCTCTCTTCTCATTCCACCATGCTCGTTCGGTTGCAGCCTGCTCAGCAACTTCGGCAGCACGTTCTCGAACCCTTGTTGCTTGGACAATCTCATTGGCACTCTGAAAAATACTGGCAGCCCATTCACTGCTAAATCCATTGGCTTCCATGGCAACATCTTTAAGTTCCTGTTGAACGACAGCTATTAGCCTCTTCCCCGCCCCCCTCTATACAGCGGGAAGATCCTGTGAAGTAACGAAAAGACAAACCTCCTCAATTTCGGCTTCAGCGACGGTAAACCGGGTCCATAGGTCATCGCCGATACTACCCTTTTGTAATAGTTGTTGAAGAGAACCTTTGGCTTGGCGAATGGTGACAACGCGGCGGATATCTTCGGTTGCGCGTCGAACGAGCGCTGCTTTGAGGATGTTGTCAGGGACTTTGGGGTTCTCCTGATGTAAGAGCGTCAGGTATATATCGCGGGGATAGTGTGGGCCGAACCAAGGCTCCAAGGAGGCAGCTTTGTCTGAACGGTCATGAGCCAAAATTCTTCGAGAAAGCATCGTCAGGGATCATAGAACTCACTGGCTTTTCGCTTCCGATATAAAGATGAGAAAACTGCAAGAGTGCCGACAAGAACAGCAATGTACACCAAAGGTGCTATTATTGAAAGCTTGACCATAACGTTGGTATGTCGTTTAAGAAACTTGATATGGTGAAAGGTGGATTAAAATGGGGTTCAAGTCTAAGAAAAAAGTGAGGGTCAGATTTTTTTTTGAGAGCGTATCTAGTTGGATGTGAATCGTCGAGAAAGACTCAAGTCGAGAAGGAGCGTTGTGGAGGTGGGAAAGAACATTCTCTCATGAACAAAATTATCCCTGAGATCAAATCTGTCCTCTCTGGAGACCCAACGCAACTTGCTCCCCCCTCACGTGACGAAGGGGAAAATTGGTATCATACTGGGCTCACGCTTTAGTAATCAAATCTTGGCGATTGGATTGTATGACGCTCATAAGTTACGTACGGTATCCTAAGGAAGCCACGAGGAGCAGCCAAGTGAGCAAGCAACTGGGAGCCTCTCATCTACGTATCCCACTCGCCAGCTCACCTCACACCCCACATCGACATCTCCACCATTTCCCCCCAACTAATAGCATCTTCCATCCCCATCCATCATGATTCTACGCTTTCGCTCACCTGACGGTGCCTATCGTGTAGATATCCAGCAAACAGATGATACATCCCTTCTTATTTCTAAGGTGGGCATCCCTAGTTTTTCTTTATAGCGATAACTCCTTGCCGTTGTGAATAGCCCTCTAAACTGACTCCTCTTCTACTAGTTACGAGAGAATCTACCGAAGGATGTTGACCCTCATACAATCATTGTTTCGGACCGCCCAGCAAATGGGAGGGCAAGGGTTCTTAATGAGATAAGCGGAATGAAGATTTCTGACCTGGGTCTCAGGTTTATACTCTCTAAATGGCTTCCGTTATCTATGCTAACCTGTTGTATTATCATGGGATGCCAGCCATGGTGATATGCTGTTTCTTTTATACAAGAAATTGAATGAGCCCCAGGCTCCCAACGGTGCCGCCACAAGCCCTGGTGAGCCATCCAGTATACGGCTTAACGGACAACCTATACGGCCATCAGAGAGCGCCTCTAACCTGTACACTACCACTACCTCTGGCTCGGTGATTCCGGACAAGGTTTCAAATCCTTGGGAAACTGTTGTTCAGGACCCTGTTGATGAGGAGCTAGACAAGAAGGATGGAAAGATACCCAGAGGTCGAGATCACAAGATGTGCAGACATGGCCCTAAAGGGATGTGTGACTACTGTATGCCAATGGAACCTTACGATCCGGGCTACCTCGCCGAGAACAAGATCAAACACCTCAGTTATCATTCTTACCTGAGAAAGATAAACACTTCAACAAACAAACCTGAGCTCAAGTCCTCGTATATGCCTCCCTTGTCGGAGCCCTATTTTAGGTTGCGAAAGAACTGCCCTTCCGGCCATCAACCGTGGCCTGCCGGCCTCTGCTCCAAGTGCCAACCATCTGCGATCACCCTCCAGCCTCAAGAATTCAGGATGGTAGATCACGTCGAGTTCAGTGACCCCGCTCTGATCAACACCTTTATCGACTTTTGGAGACAGACAGGCAATCAACGGATAGGATATCTTTACGGAAGGTTAGCACCTTACCCGGAGGTTCCGTTGGGCATAAAAGCTATTGTCGAGGCGATATACGAACCACCGCAAAATGGTGAGTCGGATGGTGTTACGCTCCAGCTGCCCTGGACTGGCGAGAAGGATGTGGCTGAGGTTGCATCTCTTTGTGGGCTTCGGAAAATTGGTGTCATTTTTTCAGATCTTCTTGATGATGGAACTGGACAGGGGACTGTGGTTTGTAAGCGGCACATTGACTCTTACTATTTGTCGTCGCTCGAGATAGTCTTCGCCGCGAGGCTTCAGGCCGAGCACCCCCACCCTAGCAAGTGGTCAGAAACCGGACAGTTTGGCTCCAGTTTTGTCACATGTGTCGTTTCGGGCAACGAGGATAATGGTATTGATGTGGCAGCATATCAGGTTTCGAACACTGCAGTGGAGATGGTTCGAGCGGATATTATCGAGCCCTCGGCTGATCCCTCTGTGATGATGGTCCATGAGGAGGACGGGAAAACAAGATATGTTCCTGAAGTTTTCTTCAGACACATCAATGAGTACGGTCTTAACGTCAAAGAAAATGCCAAACCCAGCTTCCCTGTTGAGTACTTGCTTGTCACATTAACACACGGCTTCCCGAATGACACCAAGCCTATATTCACAGCACCACTAGGAAAGTTCCCCATAGGGAACAGAGAGATCATGGGCATTTCGCAGGACCACCGGGCTGTGGCGAAGCAACTGGGCATTACTTCCCAAAGCGCAAACAGACCAACCGATGGCATTGATGTTGTCAGCGACTTCCACCTCCTAACATTTATCAAAGGATGGGGTGTTCTCGATAAGGTATGCACATTTCCCTGTAGCGCTAGTTGGATCCACAGTTATCCGAGTGATTGCTCATGACTACGCAGAACGAGGAAGAGCTCCTAGCAAAAGTGGCAGTCGGCCACGACGTAAACGACGGCTACAAGCTGTTGCAGACGCCTGGTTGGCAGACGCTGATGACGATTCTAAGGGAGAGCGGTGAGAATGCCCCTTTAAAGCGTGCTTTTGTTGAACACTCTCCACCACCACCACAAATACCATTACCGTTTGTAAATGCGAGGGGGGCGGGCGTAGGAGGTAGCGGCAGTAGCAATGGCGGTGCTGCGAGGAGAGGAGGGAGAGGGGATAATGCAACCTCATCTAATAATTATGGACCTTTGGCTAAACGTTTCCGCGGATTCAGTCTGAGGGAAGAATAAGCTTTTTTCGTCGTCCGCTTTTTTTCTACTCTGTCCACCCGCCTACCTGCCTACCTACTTGTTTAAAATTTCACTCAAATACACACTTGAAGACAACTACTCTTTGCACGATCGGAGTCGGTGGAGTTTTTGTAGTAGCTTTCCCTTTCTTGCCATTGGGTTGGGATCGACGGTTGGGGGGAGGGGTGTTATATTTGGTGGATGGGCCGGATAAGAGCTTTTATTTTCTTCCTTCTTTTCTCTTACGCTTGTTTCGCTAGCAGGTTCCCGCTGGAATTGGTGTGTCGGTGTGTGTTGGTTTCCAGACAGCCTAAGCCACGTGGGAAACTGCTATGAAAACTGGATATTATCACCATGATCACCCTCTTGTGCAAACCATTTGATTCTCAGTTTAAATACGCAGTCTCAGTGCCATCGCAATTTCCCACCCCACCCCACGATAACCGGCAAAACCCCAGAAAAGATAATATCAACGACGATGCTGCTGCTTCACCTTAATCCCATAATACACCAACCCGTACGCCGCCAATAAGCTCAACCCCTACCCCACCCCCACCCCTATTAGCTCGCGATCAACCGAAAGAGCGGGAGAGAGAAACATACAATCGGCAACCCCTTCCCACTTCGCAAAGCCCTGGGCGCACTACTCCCGGCAAGCGCAAGACTAGCCAACACCGCAATCTCATTCCCGTGGGATTGCTCCGCGCGAATGCGCAATCCCGCACACACGTATAAGGCACCGACGGTCACTCCAGCAGTAATGGAAGGGATGGAGCCAGTCTTGCTATGACACCGCAGTAAATTGTTAGTATGATATGTGGCGGCGGCGGCGGAGGAGTAGGAGGAGGAAAGGGGGAGGGTTACGCATAACCAATTGTACCGCCAAGGGCGCATAAGGATCCGATCAGTAAGGCTGGGAGGGAAGAAGACTGTTCATGGGGGGTTAACCGGGTTTGGCTTGTGTTTTTGGGGAGAAAGGGGGGTTATCATACCATTATGGATGAAGGTTGAAGGTTGAAGGTTGAAGGTTGTGTTGTGTATGATAAATGGTTAGGTGAAGACGAGGTGGGTTAGTGAGTGTGTGCTGTTCTGTGCTCTATTTATGCACTCGTGCTACAAGTTATAATAAACTGTGTGAGCCTTCAGCGAGGCGGCACCCTCATCGAGGCGCGGCAAGACTTGGCATTTCTTGGCATTAGCAGAACGTCACACCTCATCCATGTCAACACACGAACATTTTTTACAAGTGCGGCCGATAGATATATTTGTTATGTGATAAGCTAGTATAGAGCGGCAAGTTGCAACCAGCAAGAAATGAAACACCATACTATACATTTAAAACTCACGATACTTTAAAGCACAAGTGGTCCATATACATGGAGTAAAAGAAAGGGAGAATAGGAAGAAGAAAAACAATAGAACTGAAATCATCCACAAAAATTGTTATCCCCCTTATTTTGTATAACAAGTTGCAACTTATTTCGAAGATCTAAACAGTGACAATTAATGAGCTCAATTGGTATTTTCTCCTATTTCAGCCCAAGTGCTACTTTCACCTGATCCTTTGTAGTATGATCTTGGCTGTATCAGCAAAAATACATTTTGCGTCCGAAGTACCACCACTGTTTCTGGATGTGGGTGGCTGGGATTTTTGCTTCCTGAGTGTCAGGAGCGTCTGGAAGTGAGTTGCCATACTAAAGTTCTTCGGGATACTGGTTGCCATACTAGGTTGCTTCTTGTGCTTCCTGATACACTTCTCAACACCATTACCCATCTGGATTCATCACTGAACCTCCCTGGTCAATACCTGCCTTCTGGACGCCTTTCCAGCCTTCTCTAATACTAATAAAGAGTCTAATCTCGGCAAAGAGAGCCAGGTTAGTGTGAGCGCTAGGTGAGAAAGCCACCGTACTCTTAATCTTAATTTTACGCCAAAGATACTAACACTGGGTAAGGGTATTCTATTCTCAGAACTTTATCTTTCAGAGAGCGAAAATGCCAGTTTACTCTACCCTGAAAGCGAGTGATAGCTAGGACACTCTGCTTTGCACACTTCGTGGTGGTTTCTTGGCACTTAACCCTTGATGTGATATGACTCCGCACTTTGCTTACATTACACTCCACCCTAAATATTCATAACACCAATCTACCCTGAAGACTCCCCCACTACTACTTAACAGATCCCAAATCCAATACCTACATCATACTGGGCTTGATGCCAGGGACAAACTGGTATAGAATGTATCCCTACCGGACTATTATTGGTAGGACTACAGAATTGGCAATTTCAGCATACGATGGCTGATTCCTCCATGACGGTTGCTCCAATCTCGGATCTGTAACCTGTACGCTATTTAGCCCGATACTGGCTACATGCCAGTATAAAGAACGTTCAGATCAAACCACTATTCTTATAGTTACAGGGTTGGCGCTTTTTGAACTCTTGAGACCTAGTGAAACTTTACTCGATAGCAGATATCTCCACGACCGCTTGATAAATTTTAATTCTGTTTGCTGGGGAATGTTGGGCTTGATGTCAACTACACGACGGTGTAAGGTTCCTCCCTATTATATCAAAACCCATAAAATCACTGTCTTTCGAGGAGGGGGTATTAGGTTATATGCTGGTAGACTTTTACTCGATAGCAGATTACGCCTCAACCACTAGACTGGTTTCAATTCTGTTTTCTGAACGCTGTTGGGCTTGACGCCAGCTATACAACAATATAAGGTTCGTCCCTACACAATCAAAACCCATGAAGTTGCTGTTCTCTGTAGAAGTACTAAGCTGACATAATTTTACTAGATAGCGGATTCCTCTACAGCTACCAGATGGATTCCAGTTCTGTTTATTAGAGGTTGTTGGGCTCGATACCAGCTACACAATGGTATAGAGTCCATCTCTATGCAATTGGAACCCATGGAGTTGCTGTCTTCTGTGAAAGTATTTAGCTGGTGGATATTTACCAGATGGCAGATTTCTCAACAACCACTTAACAGATTTTGATACTGTTTGCTGGAGGTTCTTGGTCTCGATATTGGCTATATGTCGGTATAGGATACGTCCCTATGTAATTAATACTCATGGAGTTACTATTTACTCTGAATGGGATGCTCAGAGGAGCCTGAGGTATGGGGGGGGTGGGCTTGTATATAAATAAGTACTAGTAGAATTAGACATAGAATAGAAGACTATTTAAGAGGACTTTGGAAAATTTAGTATTGTGACCTGTGTCAGTGGAGGGTAAAGGAGAGAGCCTAAGTATTATCTGAACGCTTCCGGAATATTTTGTATTGTGCTCGGAGTGCTTCCTGAAGCTTGTGTGTTACGTTTAGTACATCCTGAAGGTTTGGTACTACATGTGGTTGTATCTGGATGCAGGTTTAGCACTACCCTGTGTCTAGAATGGCAGTTGATATTTTAAGCATCCTGAGTGTCAGAAGCACAGGAAGCTCAGGATACATATAATAATTTTTGCTGATGTGTGGAACTTGTACTCATCCAATAAGTCAGTTTTAAATAGCCCTAAAGTGGTTCAATTTGATTCAGATGTGATGACTGAGCTGGCCAATCAATAGAGTATGATCCCTTTCCTGCTCCTCCTCACTCAATTTTCTTACAGTGGTATGGGTTGGAGTATTGTTTTTAACAGCCCACATTTCCCTTCCTGTTTCTCGTTCAACTCTCTGAAGAAATTGATAGTGCAGTGGTTATAAAATATACTTTCTATAGAGCACCCAATTGATACTCCCTTATTCCATGTTGAAATTTCTTTCCTATGTTATGTTTTAATATATTCAATAATAAACATTGCATTTTCACTTGGTTGTGTTTTGGTTAATACCTGTATCTTGCGGACATTACTACAGTTAGGTGATATTTATGTTAATCTCATAGATATTTTATTGAAGAGAGACAGGAAACTTATGTGGTATTTGCTTATCTGGTTACAGGATAAATGAGATTTTCTTTATTTTTTTTACAGGTTTATGCATGTTAATTACATATTAGATTTATAATATTTTCTTAGTATTTCCTGCGCACCATCTTAGAGTTATGCGTACTTTTAGGATTTTTCTTGGCAGACATTCAGGGTAAAACATGTTTGTACTTATGTTTTTTTACTGAAAAATAAGTTCTTACTTATGTTTCTCATGATTATATTTCTTTTACTATGAGTAGGCGCACTCCAATATATATAGAGGCTACTGCTCATATATCTCACTAAGAAGAAATAAGGAACAGAACCTCTATGAATCTACCTTCAAACTATACCACTTACTAAATGTGCCTGCAATACTTTCTTAATACTGTATTGTTTGCTTAAGATAGATATACAATCACACCTCTTAAGTTACAATTATGAACACTTCAATCTCTGCACTCTTTAATGAGCTCTTTAAATTTCTATTCAGGACATCACTTTGGTTATGGATAGCTAGATGGAAGTTGATTAGTTTAATCTAATCACTATAGATTAGCATTTAATTCCATGAAAATTTTAAACTGTATTATTCTTTCGATTAGCATACAAGCTTGCTTCTTGTCTTGTTTGCTTTTTTTTATCACTATTTTCTATTTCTAATATATTATCAAAATATTTTTTCTCTTATTTAGATTCTTTTTCTCATACTTAACAAGGACTAGAATATCTATTGGACTATACAGGCCTAAAATATAATTTACACTCTGGCAGATATAAACTAATGTCTGCCATAATTGAGTGGATTTAAGTCTTGAGGACGAGAAATATTTGGTGGTCTACAGGGGTGCCCAATTTCAACTCATGTTTTTGTAACGATCATAGTCTTTCTTATTTAGTTCTTCAACCGGTAATGACCTTACCTCTTCTGTTCTCTTAATTCCTAGATAGCCTAATGAGTTCTTATTATTGTTATCACTTCTGATAACGAAGATCAATGTTGTATATATGTTAGCTCTTATAAATGAGACCTCTTTCTCACATAGAATCATG